TCATAAGGAGTGGGGATGGGGTGTCCTGTCAAGCAGATGCAGAACAGGTTCCATACCAGCCTAACAAGTGTTCTCCTCCCTTTGTCCACACCTCTACCTGGTCCCTGAACTCACCCCAAAGGTCTTTCTTAGAGTTTGTGGTTGGGGAGAAAGGACTAGCCATTCAGCCCCCCACTGCAGCTTCACTAGATCTTTTCACCTGATCTGCTCCGTCTGCGCAGCAGGGGCCTGCTTCTTCTTCCACTTGGCCCCATCAGTGCTTGTTTATTAATTATCCTAATGATAACAATAGTAGTTGTTGGCAGTAGCCTTGAACCCAGCTGGTGGCGCCCCCAGGTGGCAGCACAGGGAGAGACCAAGGAAGCACTGTCAAGGGTTGAAAGGCAGGGGCCTTAGTCTCCCTTTAGCTGAACTTTGCCAATTTTCTTGGGCACTGTGGGTCTTTTCCTAAAGAAAAAGACTTCTTCCATTCTCGAATCCATAGCTTCTGAGTTTGGTCTGGCGGACCATGCTCTGTAGTTGAAGCCAGAATGGCCTCAGGCTGCTGCTTCTCTGCTTTTGGGCACTTGTCCTTCTCAAGAGCTTAACCTCACCTCTTTTCTCTGGAGGGGACTTCAAGTTTCCTGTAAGGGGATGACTCCCCTTCTTGATTCTAGCTGACATTAGGAAGACTTCTCCTGGAGGATGTTGAACCCAGAGCTCAAACAACCCACCCCTTCCTTTTCTCCTTTCACCCCGAACCTCATAATTTCCTGGGCTGACAGAAAATCTAGCCCAAGGGTTACCCTTTGCCATCATTCCAGTGGGCTCCTCAGGCATATCATTGATGCAGCTGCATTCTCCACTTACAGCCTGTCACTCCAGGCAACATACTTTCTACAAGAGACAAGGAGCTGAGTTCCTGCTTTCTCCACTTCTTTCTTTATATCTATCTATCTATCTATTTATTTATTGGTGGTGCTGGGGATAGAACTCAGGGCCTTGTGCATTTGAGGCAAGCACTCTACCAACTGAGCTATATCCCCAACCCATGCTTCCTCCACTCTTTTTTTTGGGGGGGGGGTACCCGGGATTGAACTCAGGGGTACTTGACCACTGAGTCACATCCCTAGCCCATTTTGTATTTTATTAGCGACAGAGTCTCACTGAGTTGCTTAGTGCCTCCCTGTTGCTGAGGCTGGTTTTGAACTCTCGATCCTCTTGCCTCCACCTTCTGAGCTGCTGGGATTACAGGCATGAGCCACTGGGCCCAGACCTTCCTCCACTTCTAATTTAGAATCCCTCTCAGTTCTCAGTATTTCTACTTACAGGAGGGCAGGGGGATCTGTGGGATCCCGATCTTCTGACTTTTTAGCTCCCACCAAGGGTGCTTGGTTCATGAGTGATTACAACCCACTCACTTTGCCTATCTCTCCTACCTTTCTCTCTCTCTCTCAGGGTACAGTATAGGAATGCACTTCTAGGGGTATGTGAGCAGGTGTGATTTTGTGGAAGAAATGTGTAGGTGGGTGAGAGGGTGTGCATTGTGATGTATGAGGGAGGGTGTGCATTTGTGCAAATTCTAAATGTGACTGACGCCTGTGGGTGGATGGGGAGAAAGTGTGTGTGTGTGTGTGTGTGTGTGTGTGTGACTGGAGGAGGTTTACTGCCTGTGCAAATGCATGCCTGCAAAAGCTCCCTTCTTTCCATAAATTCATTGCTTGGAAGGAAACTAATCAAATCAACAGGAAATGTATTTGACCTAATGCAAAAGCAGCTGTTCTAGGAGTTCCTGTCCTCCAAACAAAACCAGACAGAGTCAGCCCATATCTATCCCAGGGGAATAATAAGGGGCTGCAGGGGTAGAGGAGGGCTTGTGGCTACCCCTTCTTATGGGCAGGTCTGGATTAAGTCATGCCATCTTCCTACACTGGTAAATTAAATTTGCCTACTCTCTTCCTTTATTTTTTTTTAATGTGGATTTTTTCTACCTTTAATTTATTTATTTATATTTATGTGGTGCTGAGGATCGAACCCAGTGCCTCACACGTGCTAGGCAAGTGCTCTACTACTGAGCCACAGCCACAGCACCCCTTCCTTTATTTTTTAAATTTTTATTTCGTTTGTGGTGCTGGAACCCAGGCCCCCTGCCTTAAATGACTTAAAACTGCTCAAGGAGGCTAAAGATTCAGAGAAGACCAAGACAAAACTGGAAATTAAAAACTAAAAACAAAAAGACATTACCCATAGTAGTAGGATACCCTGATGTCAACTTCCAGGAAGCAGCTGTTTCATCTTTATTTATATATTTTTTAGGTATAGATAAACACAATGCCTTTATTTTATTTACTTATTGTTATGTGGTGCTGAGGATCAAACCCAGGGCCTCGCCTATGCTATGGGAGCGCTCTACTGCTGAACCACAATCCCAGCCCTGCCTCATCTTTTTTAAATCCAAGGCCTCCCCTCCCTTCCAGAGGAAAGGAACTAAGGCAAGCTTTGGGGACATGGCAGTCTCACTGACCTGCACCCAAGGACCTGTTCTTTCCCAACTACTGGCCCAAGAGGTAAGAGTTAGTAGATCCCACTCAAGGAATAAGGTCAACCACAGACCATGTTCTTTGTCAGTTTAGCAACGGTAGAGAATGTTTGCCTTTGGGACTTGCAGGAAAATTGCTTAAGTTATGATTCTAAGGGTGCTGGGAACTTTGCTGTGCTCAGTAAACATGCCCTCCTGAAATTTCTAAGCCAAGAAGAAGGCCACTCCTTGATTTATGGAAGATGAAGAAGACAAATACATTCCCAGGGAAGTCCACACTTTGATTTAGAGTCACAGGGAAACTTCCAAATGATCAGATTTTTTCCTCAAAGCAGATTTAGGAATAGGAAGACAACAATAAGTGCTGGGGATATAGCTCAGTTGGTAGAGTGCTTGCCTTGCATGCACAAGGCCCTGGGTTTAATCCCCAGCACCACACACACAAAAAGGAAGACAACAATAAGTTTGGGGTTTCTGAAAGGACAAAGGTGTCCAAATAAGTAGAAGAAAAATGTTTCTCTATTTCACTTGGAGATGAACCTGAGAGGAAGAGTTTCATGTATGAATATGTGTGTGTATACCTTCTATTTGGCTGTATTTCTCTATTTATCCCTCTTTAAACCTACCAGGTAGGTTAAACCTACCTATTTAACCTACCAGGATTTTCCAGTTTTATTTTTATAATTTATTATTGTTGTGGTGGTGCTGAAGGTTGAACGTAGGGACCAGACATACTAGGCAAGGCAAGTTCTGTACCACTGAGTTATGCCCCAAGACCCCCTTGGCTCTGCTTTTAAAACTTTAAATATATATTTTTTTTAAGTTTCGTGTAGGTGGGCTGGAGATATAGTTCAGTTGGTAGAGTGCTTGCCTTGCATGTACTAGGCCCTGAGTTCAATCCCTAGCACCCCCCCCCCCACACACACACACAAAAAAAAAGTTTCAGGGTACTGGGAACCCAGGAGCACTATACCACTAGCTACATTCCTTGTCCTTTTTAAAAATTTTTGAGACAGGGCCTCACTAGGTTGCTCAGGCTGGTTTTAAATTTGTGATCTTCCTGCCTCAGTGTCCTTAGTTGCTGGGATTACAGGTGTGCATCACCTTGCCTGACTTATTTTTTAAACTTTTTTTTTATTATACTTCAAATGTACACACAAGTAAAGAAAATAGTATGATTCATGAATATTTTAGCCAATTGTTTTTTTAATGAATTTTTAATGAATTTTTTATTTTAATATATTTTTAGTTGTCAATAGACCTTTATTTTATTTACTTATATTCGGTGCTGAGAATCGATTTCAGGGGCCTCACACGTACTCAGCAAGGGCTCTATTACTGAGCTACAACCCCAGCCCGGCATTTTGTTGTTTTACTTGAGTATTTATTTATTTATTTAGCAGTTCTGGGGGCTGAACCCAGGGGGGCTCTACCACTAAGCTACATCCACAGCCCTTTTTATTGTATTTTTTTTTTAAAGAGGGAGAATTTTTTTAATATTTATTTTTTAGTTTTTTCGGCGGATACAACATCTTTGTTTGTATGTGGTGCTGAGGCTCGAACCTGGACCGCACGCATGCTAGGCGAGCGTGCTACTGCTTTAGCCACCTCCCCAACCCCTTTTGATTGTATTTTAAATATTTTTAGATGTAGATGTACACAATACCATTTTATTCATTCATTCATTTATGGTGCTGAGGATTGACCCCAGTGCCTCACACCAAGCGCTTTACTGGAGTTACAACCCCAGCCTCCACAGCCCTTTTTATTTTGAGACAGGGTTTTGCTAAATTGCTGAGGCTGGGCTTTAAAGTGTGATCTTTCTTCCTCAGCCTCCTGAGTCGCTGGGATTACAGGGGTGCGCCACCACCCTGTGCTCACCAATTATTTCAAAAGCGATAAATTTCCCTCTCATTCTTACCTTTTTTTTCCCCCCCTTTTTCAATTAGTGGAAATTGAACCCAGGGAATCGAATACGCATTTTTTATTTTGAGACAGGGTCTCGCTAAACTGCCCAGCTGGGATCCTCCTGACTCAGCCTCCAGACTTGCTAGGATTATAGGTGTGCGCCACCGTGTTTGGCAGCATTTGTTGCTTTCTTTAGACCCTTTTCATGTTTACATTCTTGCCATGAAAACAGTGAGGAGGTCACACTGGTTTGAGTGGTTTCTGTGCACTGCCTGCGGGCGCTGGTGCTGTTGTACCAGATGTGGCTCTGCAACCTAGGGCTTGCATTGAGATGGCTGATGACTTTCCCGCCTATGCCACCGGTGCTGCTGTACAAAAGGGCCGGACCTGCGGTACCTCCAAAGAACGTGTGTTCCCAGAGTCGGTTTACGGCTTTCTCGGGGTAAGACGCCGCAAGCGGTGTCTTCGTGCTGGAGCAGCTTCGTGCTTAAGTGCGCTCCTAGCCGAGCTCCGGAGGGGCGGGCGGGGCTGCGCCGCGGAAGCTAAAGTCTAGCGGCGGAAGCGCGGCTCTGCGGTCCAATATGGCGGCGCCCAGGCGGGCCTCGAGCTAGTAGGTGGCGGGGGTTGGAGGGACTGACTTAAGTCAGTCACCTTAAGGTGACTCGGAGCGGAGAATCCAGGGGCTTCGTGTTCGGTGCCTCGGTCGTAACCCGCCTGAAGGTCTTTGGTCTGTAGGGGAGGAGTTGCTACCTATTCGGTATATAGATCTTGGGCATGGCCCTTCATCGACCCGCAGCTCGGTGATTTCTGATGGCTGACGTGAGTGGTCCAGGACACTTAACTAGAGCCTAGGACAGTCGCGGGACCCGATTTGAGGTTATCTTGGCATAGGAGAACAGGCCGTAAGATAAGAGGCAACCCGAGAAACTACATAGTCCAGTGTTAGCGCTAGGAATCATCCGTACTGTAGTCCAAGATGTTATGGCTTCTATCACAGATTGGTTCTGGATAAAATCAGCCCTGGAGTTTGTGGGGAAGTATTTCTGTGGCTTTACTTAGAACTAAAAACTTGCTAGCTTTTACGGAGTTTTATTTATGTGAATAACAGATAACATGATAGGTGCTTTGTGCATACTCATTTAAATCCACAAAATTCCTATTCTGTAGGACCTGTTATACACATTTTACAGTTTTGGAAATTGGACTTGGGATAGCTCAAATAACTCACACAGCTAGTAAGTAGTGGAGCTGGCATTTGATCTCTAGCCTAATGTTCCGAAGCTGGTGCCCATAACTATTCTGACTCTACAAAGTGCATTATGACTTACCTCAATATCCAGCCCTATTTTTAACATTTAGGGATCTATCCCAACTCTGAAATCCTGTACTACTAATTTCTATATAACTCATTTGGTCACTGTGATGTACTGCTTTTTAAATGTATTTGTGTTTACCATTCATCCTCAGTGTCACTATCTGGAGGCATTTTTGCTTGTTACAACTGGGGGAGGAGTATGGGTAAAAGCCAGGAATGCTCCTAAACATCCTGTACAGGACATTATTCCACAAGAAATTATTGGACACTAAAGGTCAGTTGTCCCTATTGAGACTCTAGTGTACGTCCAGCTTTTGTTCTTCAGGAGTTTCTTTATAGTGTAGCATGGATTGATGCTCTGGAATTGAATCCTAGTCCTATCACTTACTAATTCTGAGACTTTGGGCAAATAACTTAAATTTCTCAGCATCCCCTTTCCTCAGCTATTAAATGTGAATAACAATTGTATCCCACCTCATATGGTAGTTGTGAGAATTAAATAAGTGAATGTGAAAGAAGTGCTTAAACTAATATGTGCCATATATTCAGTGCCCAATAAGTGTTAACTATAATAATAATAATAATAATAGTTTTATTGTTATTGGCAACTCATATGGGAGTTCCAAAGTGTTTCCCAACTTGTTTTTGTTTTGGAGATGCTGGGATTGAACCTTGGGCCTCACTCATGTAAGCACTGTACCATTAAGCTATACTCTCAGCCCTACAGACATATTTGATCTGCCCAAGATTTTTTTTAATCCAGGGGGGGTCTTACTGTGTTGCCTAGGCTGGCCTTAAATTTAAGAACCTCCCACCACATCCTCCTAAGTAGCTAAATACAGACCTGTGTCACCTTGCCTGTTTTAAGTTTTTTTTTTTTTCTTTTTGATACTGGGGTTTGAACCCAGGGATACTCTACTACTGAACTACATCCCCAACCTTTTTTATTTTGCTACAGGATCTTGCTGAATTGCCCAGGCTGACCTTGAATTTGTAATCCTTCCTAAACTTGCTGGATTATAGGTGTGCAGTACCCCTGTGGGTGGCTTTGTTTTTGTTTGTTTGTTTAAATATTTATTTTTTAGTTTTAGGTGGACACAATATCTTTTTATTTTATTTTATTTTATTTTTTTAAGTGGTGCTGAGAATCGAACCAGTGCCTCACACATTGTAGGCAAGCACGCTACCACTTTAGCCACATCCCCAGCCCTGGGTTTGTTTTTTAAATGAGATATAATTCAAGCACCATAAAATTAACCATTTGGAAGTCTACAATTGAGTGGTTTTTAGTGTATTCCACAAGTTTTCACCAACACTTTTCACTATCTAGAGAATGTTTTCCTTATCTCAGAAGTTCCATACCTGTTACCAGTCAATTCCCTTTTCTTTCCAGCTCTTCTAGCCCCTGACAACCACTAATCTTTTCATTTCTATGCATTTAACTATTTCAAGCATTTTATATAAACAGAATCATACATTGTAAGGTCCTTTGTGACTGGCTTCTTTTAGTCAGCATGTTTTCAAGGTTTATGCATGTTTTAGCATGTATCAGAACTTCATTCTGTTGGTCTTTTTTTTTTTTTATACTAAAGATTGAACCTAGGGGCACTTGACCGCTGAGCCACATCCCCAGCCCTATTTTATATTTTATTTAGAGACAGGGTCTCACTGAGATGCTTAGAACCTTGCCATTGCTGAGGCTGGCTTTGAACTTGTGATTCTCCTGTCTCAGCCTCCCAAGCTGCTGGGATTACAGGTGTGAGCCACTGTGCCTGACTTAGAACTTCATTCTTTTTATTGACAAATTATATTTCATAGTATATACCACATTTTGCTGATCCATTTATCAGTTGATGGGCATTTTTTTCCCACTTTTTAGTTATTATGAATAATGCTGTTCTGAACATTCATGTACATTTTTTTGTGAACATATGTTTTCATTTTTCTTGGGTGTATACCAAAGAGTCAAATTGCTGTGTCATATGGTAGCTCTATGTTTAACTTTTTGAGAGACTGCCAAACTGTTTTCCATAAAGGCTGCACCATTTTACATTCTCACCAAGAATAAATGACGTGCCAATTTCTCTACATCCTAGCCAACACTTGTTATTTTTTAATTTTCCTTCCCCCCACCCACCCCAGTGCTGGGGATCAAACCCATGGCCTTGTGCATGTAAGGCAAGCATTCTACCAACTGAGCTTTATCCACTACCCCCAATGCCGCCTTTTTTTCTTTTTTTTAATTTTAGCCTCCCTAGTGGGTGTGAAGTTTTGTGGTGTTTTCCTATTTTGTTTTTTTTCCTTTCTTTGATGCTGGGGATTGAACCTAGGGCCTCACACTGCACATACTAAACACAGCACTCTACCATTGATCCATAGACTTCTGGACTTCATTGTGGTTTTTATTTTTTATTTTTTTGTTTTTCTTTGAGACAGGGTCTCTTTTGTTTTGTTTTAGTACTTGGAATTGAAACCAGGGGCACTTAACCACTGAGCCACATTCCCAGCCCCCCCCCCTTTTTTTAAATTTTAGTTGTTGATAAACCTTTATTTTATTTATTTATATATGGTACTGGGAATCGAACCCAATGCCTCACACATGCCAGGCAAGTGCGCACAGCCCCAGCCCACATTCCCAAGCCTTTTTTATATTTTATTTAAAGACGGGGTGTTTCTGAGTTGCTCAGGGCCTCACTAAGTTGCTGAGGCTGGCTTTGAACTCACCATCCTCCTGCCTCAGCTTCCTGAGCCACTGGGATAACAGGCATATGCCACCATACCCGGCTCCTGTGCATTTTTAAATTGGGTCTTTTAATTGTTGAGTTGTAAGAGTACTTTAAATATTCTACATACAAGTCCTTTATCAGTTATGTGATTTGCAAATATTTTTTCCCTTTCTGTGGATTATCTTGATACTAACATTTGATGCACTTCAGTTTTTACTTTTGGTTAAATCCAATTTATCTGTCTTTTCTTTGGTTACTTTTTGTGGTTATGTTTAGGAATCTGTTGCCTAATTTAAAGACAGAAATTTACACCATGTTTTTTTCTAACAATTTTACAATTTCAGCTCTTATACTTAGCTCCTTTATCTATTTTGATTTAGTTTTTTTTTTTAAATATATAATATGAGGTAGGGGGTCCAACATTATTCTTTCACATATGAATATCCAATTTATCAGTACCATTTGTTGAAAATACTATTTTCCCCCATTTAAAAAAATCTCATCCTTGTTGAAAATTAGTTGAAGCACTAGAATTTCATTGATTTATATGTCTGTCTTTATGTCAGTAGCACAGTCTTGATTAAAATAGCTTGGTATAAGTTTTGAAATTGGGAAGTGTGAGTCCTCTAACTTTGTTCCTTTTCGAGATTTTTAAGGCTTGTCTGGGTCCCTTGCTTTACCATATGAATTTCAAGATCAACTTTTCAATTTTGTAAAAACAGGCAGCTGGAATTTTTATCAGAATTACATTGAGTCTGCAGATTTGAAAAGTATTTCCATCTTAATAGTATTAAGTCTTCCAATTTGTGAGTACAGGATGTTTTATTTAGGTCCTCTGTCATTTAACAACCTCCCTCCCTCAACTTCCCAGTGGAGATTAAGCCCATGGCATTACTCACACATGCTAGGCAAGTATTCTACCACTGAGCTATATCCCCAGCTTTTTAAAACTTTTTTATTTGGGGGGGACAAAGTCTCACTGGATTGTGATCCTCCTATCTCAGCCTCCTGAGTAGCTGGGATTACAGGTGTGTGCCACCAGGCATGAATGACTCAACAATGTTTTGTAGTTTTTTAGTGGGCAGATCTCATACTTCTTTGGTTAAATTTATTCTGACATATTTTATTCTTTTTGATCCCCTTTAAATGAAATTGTTTTCTTAACTTCACTTTTTGGTTTGTTGCTTGTATATAGACAGATGACTTTTTAATTATTACTTTTAGTTGTAGATGGACATAATACCTTTATTTTATTTTCTTTCTTTATTTTTTTGTGGATCAAACCCAGTGCTCCACATGTGCTAGGCAAGCTCTCTACCACTGAGCTACAACCTTAGACCCTCAAATGATTTTTTTTCCTTTTTTAAATTTTTTTTTTCAGTTGTAGATGAACACAACACATTTATTTTATTTGTTTATTTTTATGTGGTGCAGGGGATCAAACCCAGTGCCTCACGCATGCTAGGCAAATGCTCTATCACTGAGCCACAACCCCGCCCCTTAAATGACTTTTATATATTGGTTTTCTACAGCTCAATGTTTAATATCTTTAGTTCAGGTATGTTCATTCTAGTTTGATACAGAATCACCACTCTCTGTTATGACATATTTATCTCCCTTGCTCCTATGGCATTTTTCTCATATCTCCTGTTGGTTGTTCTTGAAAATTCTTTTTTTTGTTGTTGTTTAATATTTTTTAATGGTTGATGGACCTTAATTTTATTTATTTGTATGTGGTGCTGAGAATTGAACCAGTGCTTCACACATGCTAGGCAAGTACTCTTCCACTGAGCCACAACCCCAGCCCTGAAAATTCTTAACTACAGATTGTAAACAACCTGAATTAACTGTAAATATTTTTGCTAAGCTGATGATACCAGGGAGGGTTGAATAGGGAGGGAATGACTATAAGATATGAATGAGGAAGAATGAGTTCCCATGAACTCATGGAGAAGGAGGGTAATCCCTGATGCATGGTAATGAGAACCAGGGTTTATTTGCAGAGGACCCATCATCTTTATTGTTCTTAGGGGTGACGACGAATCTTCACGCAGTAGTTCTGGAAAAGTCATACCTAGGAAGCAGCTGGAGTGTCAAATCAAGATGCTGTCCAGACCAAAACCAGGGGAGTCGGAGGTGGATCTGTTGCATTTCCAGAGTCAGTTTCTTGCAGCTGGTGCAGCCCCAGCAGTGCAGTTAGTGAAGAAAGGAAGTAGGAAAAGTGGTGATGCTACCCGAGACCAGTCTCCATTGCAGGACCATCGAGATGTAGTGAAGCTGAACGGTGAGTGCCTTCAAGTGTGAGTTTGAGAATAAGAGAACAGCCTCGGAGTCCCCTCCTTCATCATTCTGCCCCACCACCACCATTATTTTTATTTTTTAGAGAGAGAGAGAGAATTTTTTTAATATTTATTTTTTAGTTTTCAGTGGACACAACATCTTTGTTTGTATGTGGTGCTGAGGATCGAACCTGGGCCGCACGCATGCCAGGCGAGCATGCTACTGCTTGAGCCACATCCCCAGCCCTCACCACCACCATTATTATCATCATCATCATAATTTGGTACCGGGAATTTAACCCAGGGGTGCTTTCCCACTGAGCTCCATCCCCAGCCCCCTTTTGATTTTTTATTTTGAAACAGGGTCTTGCAAAGTTTTGCTTAGAACCTCGCTAAGTGGCTGAAATTGGCCTCGAATTTCTGATCCTTTTGTCAGCCTCCCAGGTCACAGGGATTACAACCATACACGGCTCCATCATCATCATCATCATCATCATCATCATTATTATTATTTTAGTTGTAGATATACAATATATGTATTTATTTTTATGTGGTGCTGAGGATCAAACCCAGTGCCTCACACACGCGAAGCCCTTCGGGTGCTCTACCACTGAGCTACGGCCCCAGCCCCTCCATCATTATTTTTTTAAAAAATTTTTCAGATATTTGCATCTAAATTCACTAGAAAAGTTGGCCTATTTCCTTTCTTTTTTTAAATATTTTTTTTAGTTGTAGATGGACACAATATCTATTTATTTTTATGTGATGTTGAAGATCGAACCCAGTGCCTCATATATGTGAGGCAAGCACTCTACCACTGAGTCCTAGCCCCAGCTTTCCTTTCTTATGATCTCCTTATGGATTAAAAAAAGGTCACCTTATGGAGTTTTTTGTTTGTTTGTTTTTTACTGATTATTGGAGGCTTGGACCCAGGAGTAAGTGTACTACCACTGAGCTAGGCCATATACCTTTTTTTTTTTAATATTTAAAATTTATTTTCATTTTTAAAATATATTTAGTTATAGATGGACATAATACCTTTGTTTACCTATTTTTTTTTTAGAGAGAGAGAGAGAGAATTTTTTATTTATTTTTTAGTTTTTCGGCAGACACAACATCTTTGTATGTGGTGTTGAGGATCGAACCCGGGCCTCACACATGCCAGGCGAGCGCGCTACTGCTTGAGCCACATCCCCAGCCCTGTTTACCTATTTTTATGTGGTGCTGAGGCTTGAACCCAGTGCCTCATGTGTGCTAAGCAAGTGCTCTACCACTGATCTACAACCTTAGCCCTTGTTTTTTATTTTTACTTTTGAGACAGGTTCTCTCTAAATTGCCGAGGTTAGCTTTTTTTGGGGGGGGGAGGCGGGGGCGTGTACCAGGATGGAACTCAAGGGCACTTGGTCACTGAACTACACCCCCTGCCCTATTTTGTATTTTTTTTTTTTTTTTTTAGAGACAGGGTCTCACTGAGTTACTTAGCACCTGGCTTTTTGCTGAGGCTGGCTTTGAACTCTAGATCCTCCTGTCTCAGCCTCCCAAGCCACTGGGATTATAGGCGTGCGCCACTATGCCAGACTTCCGGTGGTTAGCTTCTTAATTCATAGTCCTTTTACCTTAACCACAGGAGTCACTGTGATTACAAGTATGCGCCACCACATGTGGCTTTGCCCCTTCATTATTTCAGACACCGCATATCCTTTATTGCTTTAGTCCCATTTTATAGGTGAAGAAACAGCCTCATAAAGATTAAATATCTTACTTGGAATGACACAGCCAGAGCCAGAGCCCTATTAGCAGCTGCCTTTTTTTCTTTTCTCCTATTGGCTTGGTATCTTCCTTGAGGGAATAGATGCACTCACATCTGTTGTTTTCTTTCTTTCAGACTTCCCAGATTTACCACCAGCTTTGGTTCCTGCTCCCCCAAAGAGAGCCAGGCCTAGCCTTGGCTGCCCCCTGCCTGAGGATGAGGACCCTGAAGAGAAGCTAAATAGGCATGATCAGCACATCACTGCTGTCTTGACCAAAATTATTGTGCGTCTTACCCTGGCTAAGCGGAACAAGGCATCTTAGGGCAGACAGAATATTGGGGGAAAAGGGTTTAGACTTATGAGTGTAGGGTACTTCAAAAAGGTAGACACTTCCCCTTTGGGCTGGGTTAGAATTCCTGAGACCTGATATGAGGTGTATTCATGATCCCCCAGATTGAAGTTCTCATTACGCAGAACCAGGGCCAGTAGGATATGCTCCAGTCTGGGAAAGTGTGTGCATCTTTGCTGTTTTGTGTTTGTTGCCACAGGAACGAGATACAAGTTCAGTGACTGTGAATCTGCCTGTGCCCAGTGGTGTTGCTTTCCCCGCTGTATTTCATCGCTCACAAGAGAACCGGGTAGGTGGTATTTAGTGGATAATCAGATGGATCTCATAGTACATCTTCTTCAGATAGTTTTTGTTTTTGTTTTTGCAGTGCTGGTAATTGAGCCCAAGGCCTCACATATGCTAAGGAAGCACTCTACAATTGAGCTACATCCCCAACCCTTTTGTTTTAAGATAGGATCTTGCTAAATTGAGAGGCTAGCCTAAACTTTTTTTTTTTTTTTTTTTTTTTTGTGTGTGTGTGTGTGTGTGTATGTGTGGTACCAGGGATTGAACCCAGGGCTACTTAACCACTAAGCTATATCCCAGCCCTTTTTATTTTTTATTTTGCGATAGGGTGTGATTAAATAGCTGAGGCTGGCTTTGAGCTTATGGTGCTTCTTCCTTAGTATCCCAAGCCTCTGGAATTACAAGCCTGTGCTACCACATCCAACTGCCCTCAAATTTTTGATCCATCTATCTCAGCCTCCTCATTCTGTCTCAGCCTCCTCAGTAGCTGGGATTATAGGCATTTGCCCCTACTATATCTGGTTTACTCCTTTTTTTTTTTCCCCAAGTACTGGACATTGAATCTAGGGCAGTTTATTACTAAGCTATATCCCCAACCATTTTTATTTTTTATTTTGAGATAGGGTCTTGCTATCTTGCTGAGGATCTTGTCAAATTACTGAGGCTGGCCTCAAATTTGTGATACTCTTGCTTTAGCCTCCTGAGTGTCTGGGATTATAGGCATGTACCACTGTGCCTGACATAACTTATTCTAATTTTGAAGCAGACCATATCAAGCACTTCATACACATTACCTCATTTAACTCTTGTGTATCAGATTTCAAGACCTAAGCTTCTCTAGAACCTACTTTTCTTGAGTACTAGGGTTATGGCCTGTGGAGATTTAGTATTAGTGTCTTTTATCAACTTTATTGAGTATAAAGTCTCTTTGTTCTAGAGACCTTGGCATATGGAGATGAGAGAGTGGATAATGAGCATTAATAATCTGGGTTTTCTTTTTTTCTCTACAAGGGGAAGCTGGTAACATCTGGTAAGAGAAGCATCTTTGCCCAGGAGATTGCAGCCAGGAGAATGTCTGAAAGTAGGGTTCTATCAGCTGAGGAAGTTGTGCCTAACCTGGATCCACCAGAGGGTAAGCTGGGGCTAAAGATCCTCAGGCTTGGCCTTTTCAGAATACGTGATCATGAGATCTTTTGGGATATACATCTTCCCTGTCTTAAGTAGGGGATGCATTTGAGCCATCTCAAGAGAAAGTCATCCCATGTCCCTACTTAGAGTACTTAAGTTTAGGAGCCCTGTATCTGCTTTGAATCTTAGGTACAGAGAGCGGGTAGGCTATTATATGACTCTAAGAGAAAGGCAAAGGGGTAGAAATGTCTGGCAAAAGCTGCAAAATAAAGATATAGGCCAAATTTCTTTGTTTTTCTCTCTCTCTCTTTTTTTTTTTTTTTGCCATTCTGAAGATAGAACCCAGGGCCTAGTGCATGCTAGGCAGGCATTCTACCACTGAGCTACAGGCCAGCTTATGAATTTCTATTAATGATGCAGATTATACTGGAAGAGCGTAGGGTAGGCCCCTGGTGGTAGATGGTTACCTTGACATTCCAAGTGAAGAGTCAGAAACTATGTTTCCAAGGGAAATCTTTTCATATAAGTCTTAGGGGAAGAGTGAGCAGAAAATCCAACCCCCTACTTCCAGAGTGCCTAGAGTCCTATGCCACACCCAGTACACTCTCCATTCTGCTCAGGAAAGCTTCGGAGTCTTCATCTTTCTCCAGGGCTAATAGGCTTAGTGAAGAGGGCCACAGGTCCATTAAGCCAGGAAAACAGGGCAGTGAAACTGATCATACATTTCTTCCAGGTGCTGTGACCTGTGAAACACCCACTCCTAGGGACCAACGCGACCATATTCTGGGGAACAGCCACAGCTTTCAGGGACCTCATCTGATCACAGGGAAGGGGCTCAGGGGCCAGGAGGCTCAACAGGAAGCGCAGACCATTCACAAAGAGAATGTAGCAAGACTGCAAGCCATGGATCCTGAGGAGATTCTGCAGGAGCAACAGCGTTTGCTGGCTCAACTTGGTATGGGTGCCAGGCTTTCCAGCTGGGACCAGGCTAGGGAGGCCTGCCACTTATTGAGGAAGGGTTACTGTGAGTGCCAGGCAGTGCATTCTTCCATTTTGTCTTTAAACTACTCCTGTGAGGGAAGTGGTATTAATTTAATTTTACTTATGAAAAAATTTCAAAAATAGAGAAATTCTCTCCAGGTTATATAGTTGATAAATAACACAGATTAGATTTTTTTAATTTTATTTTTCTGTGTGATGATCAAACCCAAGGCCTTGCCCATGCAAGGCAAATGTTCTACCACTAAACTGTACGCCCAGCCTTACAAATAAGACTAAACCTAGGATTTAGGATTTCTATCTGGTATTAGGACCTACTATTCTTTTTTTTTTTTTGTACTGAGGATTGAATCCAGGGACACTTTTACCACTGAATTTCATTCCTGGCCCTTTTAATTTTCACTAAGTTGCCAAGACCGGCCTTAAACTTATTATCTTCTGCCTTAGTAGCTAGAATTTCAGGCATATTCCACAGCATCTAGCTTCAGGTCCTGTTCTTTTTATTATTTTATTTTTTATTTTTTTTTTAGTTGTAGATGGACATAATACCTTTAATTTATTTTTATATGGTTCCAGGGATCAAACCCAGTGCCTCACTCATGCTCTACCACTAAGCCACAACCCCAGCCCTCAGGTCCTGTTCTTAGCCACCAATGTGCTATGTTTTACTGTACTGGTGTAGTATACACTATGCTTTATTAGTCATACTCTAACTATAGCACTATATATATAT